TATTACTAATGATAAATATTTTTATTTAAAATTATTTTTTTAGACAAGATTTTAAATTTTAATTTACTATAAATTATAATATATTTGTTATTATTATACATTTTTTTAAAATTAATTATATTTATAAGTTGATATATTTTAATAGTTTATTATCATTTTTTAAAATAAAAAATCATATATAAAAAATTATGTTGACCAATATATCGTGCCTCCACTGCATGGTCACCAATCGCTCTCTTAAGCTGCGAAACATGAAAAATTGGATGAATACAGCTGGTCTCCGGCCGTAGGCCAATGCGAGCCACCATTTCAAATGGCCCAAAGAACTTGGCGGCGAGCTTGTGGTGTTTGCCGGCCAGTGACGTCTGTCGATGGAGACGTACCTTCAAGAACACCTAGTTGCTCACCTCATAACTGACATCGCGGCGATGAGGGTTGGCCGCACGCACTAAGATGTGATGTTGAGTCGTCTACATGACAATTTGATGCGTGCCATCAAATTGTCATGTAGACGACTCAACATCACATCTCGGCTCCGAAGCATTTCAGCCACCGCTACGGTGCGACATTCATCTGGCAAGTACCTCCAGAGCGTAGGGGTTGCCGCCCATACACAACTTCGAATGGCGTTACTTTTGCTGCAGTTTGGAACAACGTATGTACAAATATTCCGCCCAGGACAGCCAGTTCACCCACCTCTTTTGTTGCTCCCCTACAAAACAACGCAAAAAAGTCTCCAACACCCTGTTCAACACCTCTGTTTGACCACCCGTTTCAGGATGATACGCAGAACTAAACTTGAGCTGAGTTCCCGACAACTTGAAAAACCCTTTCCAGAAAACGTTCACAAATAAAGGATCCCGGTCACTAACAATGAACCGCAAAATTCCTTGCAAACGAACCATCTCACGCATGAAGGCCTCAGACACCGACCTTGCCGTGAGATTGCCTTTTAGTGCTATAAAATAACCATACTTGGAGAGGCGATTAACCACTACCATCACCGAGCTATACCCCTGAGACTTCGGCAACACGGTGATGAAATCCATTGAAACATCCTCCCAAATGAGATCTGGAACCGGTAACAGCTGTAACAACCCGGCCGGTGACAGAGCCTCGTATTTTGCTTTCTGGCAGATCAGGCATTTTGCCACGTAATCTGCACTGCCCGGAACATGCTTCTCCAATAAACACTCGAAGCGATCCACTTATATGTCCGCAAAGCTCCACCATGGCCTCCCAAAGGGGTATCGTGGAATTCCTGCGGAATCCACACTGGCTCAGAAGCCAACACGTGGCTCTTATAGAACAATTTCCGTCGACCGTCTCAAACCCCGTCGACTGCTCGGATCCCGACGGAGATCAGCAACAATGCTTTGAACGAAGCCATCACGTGCCTGCTCGGATAGCACATCCGCCAACTCACCCCAATATGTACTACTGAGTGCTAACAAGACGCTTTCATTCCCCTTTCGAGAAAGCGCATCCTCTGCCGTGTTAGCCGCACCAGGCTTGTACTCGATAACAAAATCATAGCTCAATAATTTTGCCACTCAATTTTTCTGAGAGGGCGTAACGATCTTCTGTTTCAGGAGGTGCTTCAAAATGCTATGATCCATCCTCACCGTAAACTGGCGACCCACAAAATACGGCATTCAATGCTGCACTGCTAAAACTAACCCTATCATCAACCTCTCATATGCCAACCGCGTAAGGGATTTCTCCGCCAAGGACTTACTGAAGTACGCGATTGGGCGCTCCTCTTGCATAAGCATAGCGCTAATCTCAGACCCGGAGGCGTCACACTCAATCAAAAACCGCTTATCGGAAATCTGGCATCGTCAAAACCGGAACCGTTGTCAGAGCCGTTTTTACCGCTCGAAACGCCCCCTCGGCCGCTTCCGTCCAAGCGAACGGAACATAAACAATCTTATTCAACAAGTCTGTCAAGGGTCGTGTGATCTGCCCATACCCCTGAACGAACCGGCGATAATAACCGGTAAGGCTAAAAAATGCCCTAACATCATGGACATTACGAGGACCATGCCACTCCACAACTGCCTGTATCTTCTCTGGATCATTCTCTACCCATGCCGCTCATATCACATGACCCAAATACTCCAACTTCGAGCAACCAAATGAGCATTTCTTCCGGTTCACCTTATACTGATCATCTTGCAAGACCTGTAGCACCTCTCTCAAGTGCTCCTTATGCTGCTGCCAAGACCTACTGTAAATAAAAAATGTCGTCAAAAAATACTAGCACAAATTTCCTTAGAGAAGGTCGAAAAAGATTATTTATAGCGGATTGAAAGGTTTCCGGTGCGTTAGTCAACCCAAATGGCATAACCAGGAACTCATAGTGACCACTATGAGTGCGAAACGCTATTTTATAGATGTCACGATCCTCTACTTGAATCTGGTGGTATCCGGAACGAAGGTCAATCTTTGAAAATATCACCGCTCCAGCTCATATAACAACTCCTGAATAACGGGAATGGGTTACTTATTCAGCACTGTTACCTTATTGAGCTCCCGATAGTCCACATAGAAACGCCAGCTACCATCATTCTTCTTGACTAACAACACCGGGCTGCTGAATGAGCTGGAACTAGGCTGGATGATTCCGGGTAGGAGCGTGTCCGCAACCATTCGCTCAATCTCATCCTTCTGCACCTGGCCATAGCTATATGGCCTCACCGATACAGGCCCCGAACTTGGCGCCAACTTGATCCTGTGCTCAGTACCGCGAAATCGAGGGTAACCCCTCTGGCTCACCGAAGACCATCTCAAACTGTGATATAACCGCGATAGCCTCCCTGCAGGCTCCGAAACCCTTAGCGGTGCCCCCAATACTACCATAACCAACAACTCCGCTTTCTCCATTCGAACCAACGCACATACCCCAATGGGTCCCCTACACAGAGCTGGATCTCCCCCCAAATGCATTCGCGTTCCTTAGAAAACAAATGACATCGTCAATTTGGCCTAGTTTGTCTTAACTTCCCCAAGTGTCGCTAACCACGCTACCCTAAGGATAACGTCTACTCCACCTAGCAGTAAAGCGTGAAAATCTGCTTTTAACTCGAGACTGGCCATTGACAACCCGGTATTGTGGCATATCCCTACTGACTCCAAGCGCCGCCCATCGCCCAACTGAACCCTGAACCGGCTCGACTCATAAGGCTTTAAATTGAGCTCCGCCACCACGGAACTCGAGATAAAATTATGGCTAGCACCACTGTCAATCAACACTGTAACCCAACGCCCAAGCATTTCTCCCACGAAGCGCAAGGTTCGCGGCCGGTGAACCCCGCCATCGAGTACATTGGCAACACGGCCTACTCTTTCTCCCCCTCTTCCGGCACGACTATGGCTGTTTTACCCTCTTTCCAATCAGGATCACCGTGAAACTTGAAACAATGTAGATCTAACGCCTCGTCCTCCTCTGCCATCAATACATTCAGTTGCTGCATGGGGCATTGATGCCCTGGCATATACGTTTTCTTACAGCGAAAGCATAAACCTTTCGCTCGAAGTTCCGCCATTTCTTGAGGAGACATGCGGGAGAAACGTGATGGAGCAGCTGACTGCACCCCAGAGAACGACCACCCTGGCTGAATTCGCTGCGGGGGTCTTGGGCCCGGAGACCCCGTGGACCCCACGGACTGAGACACGCTAGGCCTCGGCCCAGAGGAAAAACTCTGCCCTGCCCTGACGTAGACCAGCCGTAGAAAGCAGGCCACGTGAACATACTTCTGCTTGCCCTCCAATCTTGCCCCCCACCCCCAATTGCCAAATTCGACTCCACATCTCTTGCTAGGTCCATCGCCGTCTCCAAATCTAGTGGCTATAGGAGACAGAGAGAACCCCGAACCTCATCTGACAAACCCTTTAGAAAGTATCCCAAATAATGTTCATCACTCAATCCCGGAACCTGACTGGTGAACTGAACAAACAAGTTGAAGTATTCCTCCACTGTGCCCGTTTGCGCAACCGCCGCTAACCTCTCGAAGCAGCTTCCCTTAAAATGAGTGTTGAATCGGTTTGTCAAAGCCCAAGAAAATTCCACCCAAGTTATATCCGACTTTCTGGATCGAATCCACGAAAACCAATATAGTGCCGAACCCTCCATCGCCAACATTGCAGCTGCCAATTTTGACTCCTTGGTTGTATGATGCAACTTGAACTGCTGATTCGCCCTCCCCAACCAACCGATCGGGTCTGCCCCGTCGAAGGAGGGCAGCGATGGTGGCGCCAGATCCCTCTTCCCTTCAGCCCTAATCTCACACCCCGCCTCGGTCGCGGCCGAGTCTACTACATCATCGCTCGCCTGCTGTCGCGGGGTGCTCGACATCCCAGCCACCACCCGTCGTTGGACGGGCAGCCGCGATGGAAGCGACGGAAGCCGCCAGCCCGGCCAAGGTACGAACGATCTCCTTCAACGGCTTAGTTACCCTAGTCTGATCCTCCGCCATCGGCTTCATCTCTTCCCTTATACCCGCCTGTCCATTCTCCAAATCCTCAAATCTCTGTTCATTGCGTGTGTTCGTCATCTCCGGTGAGTGTTTCATGCTCACCGCACCAATTGTTAGCACTCAAAGAATCAAACGCAACGCGTTTGTCCAAAAGCCAGAAGGCTCCTGTTTATTTTCTCAAGAATAATAAATCTCCAACAATGTCTTTACCACACACTTAAATAATGTTTAACCCTAAGTCTAACAATTACGTCCACAACTAATAAAATAGGACAATAACAAATAATACAATAATAAGGATAAATAACTAAACCACTGACGGCCCAGCCCGCTCGCCTTGACGTCGTAGGCTGTAGACCAACAACGGCCGTGGATGTGCCACCCCGACCCCTTACTCCATATCAGTATCTTTGAAATCTTAATCCTTCTTGCTTTTGTTTTTATTTTTAGACTGTTGTTCACCATTGTATTATCCTGAAATGTGTACTATTTTTTTATTGTAGCATTATGTTACTGTTCGGTTAAGCTTATTAAATGCACGTATGTAACACTATCATTTTTTGGGATTCACATCATCAATTTCTTATTTAAATGTTTTTACTTCCTTGTTTGATCTTTTCTCTTTTTCTTCAACAGAAAAATGAGCAGGATTGTGGCAGGCCTCCGTTCCCGTGGTTTCATTTTGTTTACGCTCCAGGCGTCCATATCAATGAAGTTTGGTATTTTCTCATTTTTATTAACTTGTGAACATGAACAACCTTTGCCTATTGACATCATCCTCGCACTTTGTTTGTTTGCCGGGGTGATTTACGCTACGGTGGGAATATCATTTTCGGAGAAGAACAACCGCCTTCTGCAATTACTCGAAATTAGTGGAGTAGCAATAATATGGAGCGTCAATTTGTTTCTGTTCTTTTATACGCCGCTTTACTACGGATTTTTTCAAATTCTATTTTGGAGTTTACTTTTACTAATTTTGGTTTCGACTCTCTCTATATGTATTAGGTTTATTCAACAGGATCCTAACGAAATTCCGCCTCAGCCCCCGACTCTAAATATGATACACATGCAGCAGAATACAATAATGGAGAAGCTGGAGGAGAAAAATATTCAGATTAAGTGGCATATGAATGAACAACAAAAAAGCTGGAGGAAAGACTCGACCGACAACAAAAGAAGCTGGAGGAAAGACTCGACCGACAACAAAAGAAGCTGGAGGAAAGACTCGACCGACAATAAAATAAGTTGGAGGAAAAACTTGACCGACAACAAAAGAAGCTGGAGGAAAGACTCGACCGATAACAAAATAAGCTGGAGGAAAGACTCGACCGACTACAAAAGAAGCTGGAGGAAAAACTCGAGCAACATATCAAAAAGGTCGAAGAGTTGGTGAATAAAATACTGCAGTTGCTGGATAAAGTTACATTACCAAAATAATAATCATTTGTAGAAGATTATAGCAAGTAAGAAAATTGGGAACAAACAGATGATGTTACTAATAATGTTTTTCTTCTGGACTGCAGGCTGCCATACTGAAGATGTATCCAGCTGAAATGATTGTGTGGCTATATACTGCTTCTTCGTCATATCCGGTCATCTATTGTTACTCTGATTGCAGAAAGGGATAGAAGTGCATGGCGAATCGAAACAAAGATTGGATTACTCGCCATACTCTACTCGGTAAGTGTATTACAGGACAGTGCTACATGTGTGCCATAGATGAAATATTGTCTGATCGCATGATCAGCACCAGACCATTGTTAATTCTCCCAAATTAATTCATGCTCAATTTACAATCTGTGATGGCAGGCCATCATTAACATAGCATATAGGCTTTATGTTGCGGCTTGGTGCATATGGAAGAGGGGGCCATTCTTTGTTTCCCTTTTTAAACCATTGACTATTGTCATTGCTGCTGTAATCGGTGTTGTTTTCATGGGTGATGGTCTCTATGTTGGAAGGTATTTTTCAAACTAAAAAACTTCTGCAAGACTTAATTGGAAAACCTTTCAGTCCTTATTTGCACTGAAATGTTTTCTAATATTCGTAATGCCTTTTGTTCTGCAATTTGATTGGTGCAGTGGTGTTGGTCGTTAGATTCTATGCTGTGCTGTGGGGAAAAGCTAAAGAAATGGAGGAAATTGATGGGTTGGAATCATAAACTCCTTTGTTGCGATAGTAAGTGTAGATATCTGTCTGTTTATGCCTTCAACATTTACTGCAATCCTGTAACAGTAAACAAGTGTGCAAACGTATTCTTTATGCATCAATAAAATGGAACATGTTAAAACAATTAATTTTTAAATGCAATTGTCGGGTAGGACATGCCTGAAAAACAATGAAGATAATGTTTTAGCTAAGCTGTTGATTTGTGAGACTTGTTATTAATTTCAAGGAGGGACCAATATAAAAGGCTGCATTATGCCTAAGCTGGTAATTAGTGTTTCTTAGTTGGTTTCCCATAATCCCATATGTGGTGTTTGTATTTCAAAATATGGTCGATTAATGACTTATTACTTTATGAATTGTTGGTATTAGTTATTTGTAGAGATCGACATGAATTTGTGCATTAAGTGTAGCCTGCTAAATGGAAAATACTTTGATCTTTTCTGGATATGCCTATTCATTAAGTTCTTGGATTTTCTTCGTAGATGCTTTGCAGAGATAGGTAGTTATGCTGGCATAAATTTCAGCTCTCCGACACTGAGTACAGCCATGTTGAATCTGGTTCCAGCATTCACCTATGCCCTTGCTGTTATATTCGGGTAATACATGATTTTCCCTTCATTCTCTTTTAACCCTTCCATGTGTGTGTTATTGATTCAAGGTTGGATTGAAATAGTTTCCCCTACTACTATTAAGTTGGAACCCAACATCCACTAGCTTTAACCTACTACTATTAAGTTGGAATCTACATAGGTTCCTAGGTTGCCCGAAGGTGTGATATTTATCTCAACATTAGTTAATTGAAAATCATGCAATGTGAAAGTCTCACATGATAAGATGCATTAGCTGATTAGCAACCGCAAGTGTGACAATAAAATTTTCTCAAAGATCATGTATTAACTTGGTAAATATTAATACCATAAACAAATATTCCAAACTGAAAAGAGAAAAATGCACTCAAGAACATCTTGGAGAGAAATAAATCATAAAATTTGATAAAAATATATAAATTTCAGCTTTTCAATCCCTAACAAAATGAAGGAAAACTAATTTATACTCTAATGACATTGGAAAAAATATCCTTATGGTGCAATGTGTAAATTAGCACTGATAGGCCGGGTGGGGGCTTTTGTTAACTCATCCAGTTCAAAGACTAATTAGCACTGCAACATGTGTAAATATCCTCATGGTGCAATGCTGTCTCATATCATATCAGCTCAACCTTCAATGACTCTCTAATTAATTTGTCTTAGAATGGAAGAACTAGACTTTAGAAGCTCAAGTACCATATCAAAATCTTTGGGTACTATTACATCTATCCTGGGCGCATTCATCGTGACATTTTATAATGGAACGGCTATCCTTAATTCACCTGCAACCTCTGGATCTTTTAATCAGCTCTTGTTGCCATCCACACCAAATTGGGTCCTTGGGGGACTTTTGCTTATCTTTGCCTCATTAACCACTGCAGCATGGTGCATACTTCAGGTTTCACTTCGCTTTATGTTAACATTGCCCAAATTCATAAATAAAATACATTATTACCTCTACAAAAAATATAAAATGTTTAAACATTGTCTTGAAAGGGGAAAGAAAGAAATAAAGAAAGAAAGAAAGAAAGAAAGCTTGCTCTTCAAATTAATCCTTAATTTCAGGCTTAAGAAAAAAAAATACCATTTAAAAAAGTACAATTGTGTGCTTTATTTTTAAATGTTTCGTGTTTTACATGGAGTTTATTTGAATTTATCCAGGTAAGAAAAAATTGGGAACAAACAGATGATGTTACTTATAATGTTTTTCTTCTGGACCGCAGGCTGCCATATTGAAGATGTATCCAGCTTAAATGATTGTAGTGGCTATATACTGCTTATTCGTCATGATCCAGTCATCTATCGTTACTCTGATTGCAGAAATGGATAGAAGTGCATGGCGAATCGAAACAAAGATTGGATTACTCGCCATACACTACTCGGTAAGTGTATTACAGGACATTCTACATGTGTGCCATAGATGAAATATTGTTTGATCACATGATCAGCACGAAACTATTGTTGAATCTCCCGAATGAATTCATGCTCAAATTACAATCTGTGATGGCAGACCATCATTAACATAGCATATAGGCTTTATGTTACGGCTTGGTGCACATGGAAGAGGGAGTCATTCTTTGTTTCCCTTTTTAAACCATTGAACATAAGAGATCTATTGAATTTACATGAGCTATCCTTTAATAAACAATGTTAGTCATATACTATAAGAAAATAAAATTCATAACTTGATGCCGTCTGGATTATATTCGATAGGTTGATGATGCCAGTCGTATTCATTAAAATAAGAATGAGCTGGAGGTTGGTAAAGCTTTATGTTTGCCATGTTCAGAGTTTATGGTGTGCCTGAGGTAATAATTTCAGATGAAGATCCGATCTTTGGATCCCACTTCTGGTAGATGTAGCAAAGTAATTTGGCACGCAGTTTGAATGAGTATCACATTCAACTTCATGATAGATAGGCAAACCTGGCGAACAATTAAAATCTTGGAAAACATACTTAAGTGATACAGAGTGGTGCTAGGGCTAGAGATGGTCAAGAAAATGATGGATCATACTGAGTTATTCGAGTTAAGAATATGATGGTTGAAATATTGTCAGAAAGATTTCACCAAAAAATAACTTAGGTTATAGAAGGGTCCTAGTCCTACAGATTTCTGAGAAATTGATAGATCTTATTAGAGTCTAGATGAAAGCAATCCAAGATTGTCACTAGTTTGGAACAGGCTCCACTTACGAGACTAAAATGATAAGGAGTCAGTTACGGGACTAAAAAAACAATTTACCTTTATTTGTTATATGTTAACTTTGAAATTTGGATGGGTTGATTTTAAAACTTGGTATTGTTTACATTATTTGTATATATGTTTACTTTGTGCTTATATATATACTTCTGTGTGCAATATCTATGTGGTAAGTTGTATATATAAAGGTGATGATGTAAGCATGTTCTCTACTCTTATTATGCCCTACACAGCAACCGCGATGGTCGACCAGAAATAAATAGGAAATTGTTGGATTTTATTTCAGATCTATCTGACCTGGCCCAAAGCCCGCATGACCCGACCCGATCCGAACCAACTTGAACTGGCTTATGTTTTATTTATAACCTAATCCATCGATTTTTCAATTATGTTTCTTCTCTCCTTCCCTATCGCGATAGTTCCTCTTGCGAGAGAAAAAATTGGGATTTGTTGTTGTCATTTCTCTTGGTAATGTGACGATTGAAATTGATAAAGTAAATTTGCTCTACTTTTTTTGGGTTTATCTATTGCTCCCTCTAGCTGTATATACTTGGTGGATTCGTGGGGTTTTTTTTTTTTTTGAGGGGGGTGAGAACTGAGAGAGAGAGAGAGACAATATATATATATATTGAACTTGGTGATTCTTTGTTCTTCCTCCCCATGACGCTTGGTGGTTACCGGAGTTTTGCCCTCCAACTTTGCGTTCCTTTTGTTTTATCGGTTGAAATCGATAACGGTTCTTGGGTGCCCTTCGAATTCCTCCTCTTTGTGACGTTGCCTCGTTAGAAGGTTTGAAGTTGATGCGGAGTAGGCTGTGATCTGAGCCTACCGAACTATTCCACATATTTCGTTTATATATAGCATTACTTTTTTATTTTATTTTTATTATCATTCTAATTATTGGCACTAACTTATTAATACTATTAGTGAGATTATTTGGTTGTAGGAACAACCTGAGTCATCAATCTTAGGAAGAAAAAATTTCCAACACAACTTCTTTGCCCAAAGTAATATATATAATATATAAATATATATATAATATAAGTATATATACTTACACATATATACATTATATTTATGATCACAAATATGGGATGGTATCACAAGCACAGGCCCTTACATCTCAATCCCTCTATGCTTCTTTAATACACTGTGTATATATTACATATACATGATTACATACATATAGTGTGTGTATATATCACTTTGTGTACAGGGCATGAAAAAAAAAAGCTGGTGATCCAATCCCCACAAATATATACATACTATGTATGTAAATTGAAAATGGACTTTATATTACTCTATCCACGACTCTACGATCTCATATTCTTCCTTGTCCAAACATGACATGACACGTTGACCACATCATACACCCCGCCAGTACTAATCATCTGAACAAATTTTGTTGTGAATCTGAATAGCAACTTCTCACATTTCCAAACTGATTAATACATTGATTTTCTTGCAGTTAGTCTTTCCAGTAAAAAAAAGTTTTTGACAACTTAAATTTATTAGTGCACTGCCAATTTAGAATCATGATGAAGGAAACTAAACAGGTTTCTCTCGCACCATTTCTATGAACACTTCATTGATTGGATCTAATAAAATTTTCTCACAAATTTTTGTTGAAGAGTACCTCAAAAAACGAAAGGAAGAAAAAGAAAATAAGATTCTTATATATTAAAAGTTTTGTGGATATTTTTTGATTTTGTATTATTCATAAATCATAAAGTCAAGGCCTATTTATAGACATAATCCAAAATGGATAAAACAAACAATAAAATAAATAATATTCCAACATCCCCCTCAAAGTCAAGTAGGCGCTGTAGAGACCAACTTGAGTTTGTCCAAGAACAATCGGAAGCGACTGGGAAGAAGAGACTTGGTGAAGATATATGTTGTCTGATCTGCGGAGGAGATCGACACAAGATAGACAGCCCCACCAATGATATGTTGTTGAATGAAGTGACAATCACGCTCAATATGTTTGGTGAGCTCATAGAAGGTATCATTGTGGGTCATGTTCATAACACGCTGACTGTCGCAGTGAAAAGCCGTAAAAGATGACTGAGAAACACCAAAATCAGTGAATAATCGACGAAGTCATAAAATTCTGACGTAGAGTCGGCAATAGCACGCTACTCAAACTCAGAACTCGATCAAGAAACTAAAGTCTGCTTCTAGTTGTGCCAAGAGATGAGAAAATTACTCAGGAAGAAGTAGAAATCAATGGTCGAACGATGATCGGTAGGATCACCAGCCCAATCAGCATCAGAGTAACCAGTAAGAGTCAAAGATGGGTGAGAAGAAAAATGTAAACTATGTAGGAGAGTACCTTTTCACATAACGGAGAATATGTAAGACAACAAAGTGGTGAGAGGTCCTCGGAGCGGCCATAAACTAACTCACAATATGAACTGCATGAGCGATATCTGGTCGAGTGACAGTCAAATAGATCAAACTCCTAACAAGTTGACAATATAGTGTAGGATCATCAAGAAGAGAACCATAAGGAGGGGTAAGTCGAACGTCTTAGGCAAGTGGTGTAGAGGCTACCTGGCAGTCAGTGAGACCAGCATGAGCAATAAAATTTGAGGCATACTTAACCTGAGATAGAAAGATTCCATCGAGAGAATAAGAGACTTCAAGTCCCAAAAGGTGACAAAGGGGACCCATACTCTTCATCTTAAACTGATGACTAAGATATGTCCGTAGATCATAAATACTAGACACATCATCTCTTGTGATGATCATATCATCAATTAAGAGGATAACTATCCATGAGGAAGAACAACAAAGAAATAAACCGGAATCGTAAGCGCGTGTGGTAAAATCAAACTCCAAGAGCGCAAAGCTAAATGTGACATACAAGGCCCGAGGGACCTGCTTCAACCCATATAAAGCACGGCATAAACAAGAAACCTCTCTAGAAGACGGGAAACTTGGAGGATGAGTCATATAAACTTCTTCAAAAAGAGTGTCATGTAAGAATGCATTATTGACATGTAACTGAAGAAGAAACCAGTGACGAACAACAACAACGGCAAGGAGACAACGAATAATAGTGGGATGAGCAACATGGACAAAAGTCTCCTCATAGTCAACTTCATATTCCTAAGAATAACCCTTAGCCTCCAGACGAGCCTTGTAGCACTCAACGGAACTATCATAATTATTTTTGATTTTGAAAACTCACTTGCACCCAATAGTTGTCTTGCCATAAAGCAAATTCACTAAATTTCAAATGTGAGTCTTTTACCTGCAATTCCTTAGTCATATCTTGTTGCCACAATGGATCAAACACTCTTGCCTCACGAAATGACCTAGGCTCATGATGAAATAATATGACAAAATAACAATGATAATCATGCAATGAGCAGGTGGATGAATCATTCGATGTGATCGACGAGGTATAATAGGTCTAGACACCGCAGACGGATCAATATCTGGAGACGAGGTCGTAGGTGGATAAGAAGTTTCAACTGGAACAGATCCGGAGGCGGAGATGGAGTCGTAAGATCAGGGTCATGAAATAAAGGAGGACATGACGCCATGAATAAAGTGAACCAGAAATAAATGAGACATGAAATTTAGACATGGTTGAATAATCAATTAGTTCATTGTGTATGCCATTTGTTGATGATATAACAAAAGGGATGTATGTTGATGCTATTTCAAATATAAATTACTATTATTAATTTATACGGTTCTTAATAAAAATATATATTAATTTTCTCTTTATAAATAAAATATCATATTAAAATATTATTAAAATTAAAACTCAAATTAAAATTCCGATTTCAAATCAAAACCAAACCACCCAAGTTTATAGCAAGTTTATTTGTAACTCATATATGATTTTAAAGTTTGCGTCACTTCTTATATTTCAAAATTTGTGTATTATTTCCTTGTAATTTTAAAAATATTGTACCTAATCTCTAAATGTCTATATTAATAGATTTTGTGGTTGTTAATTTTCAAACATTGCAGACTTTTAAAATCATAGGTAATATTTTAAAAATATAAGAAAATATTGTGCAATTTATAAACAATGCAAAAATTA